AAGAACATGCGAAAATCACACTGATTAATTATTAAGTGTGCTGCAACATAAACTAAAATGACTCTCTGGGAAAACGGCTTGTGCTTCTTCACTGGCAGAAAGGAGCAAAGGCGAATCATGATGACGCAGGACTTCTGGGAATACGACGCCAATGGAGACGTGAAAGCAGGACCCATCTCTGATAACTACATCTTCAGCGCTAACGGGTCAGCTGTTCGGGCCTACAAGGCCGTGGAAATGGAGATAATCCCGGGAAAGGTGCTCACCGAGATCAGGCAGCGGTTCTACAGGTCGGTGACTGGAACTACACTGCTAAAACACAAAATCGTACCAAGTATTTTTGGTCAAGGTTCTAGTGCAAATGTCACTTGAAATAGGACAAAACTAATTACATGTAACTTTTCAGGTGAATAGTTGCTTAATATTGATGAGAAAGTACTAGTTCTAAGTGAAATATTCTGCCAGTTGAGCTAGTACTTTTTGTTATCAAAATTCGGACTATTTCTTGATGAAAAGTTAGTTTTGTATTGAGATATTTGCACTAGAAAGTAGATCAAAAATGCTTGGTCAGACGTTGTGTTTTTGCGGTGTAACCAAGAAGATTTCATCTCTTTCTACGGCTGACGACCAATTCTGGTTGACCGCTCTAGAGAGGACGGTGACGAGGACTGCGCCTACTCGATCACCACTCGCGTCCCAGAGTATTCGGAGGCCGGGCCCTGGTGCCACAGGCTGGAGCAGACCTACTCTCTGGGCCCCCTGCGCCTCAACACAGAGGTGGTCCTCAGAACCAGCTCCTCCCTCGACAACAACAGGACTCTGTACTCGGATGACAATGGCTACCAAATGATGAAGAGAACCTACAAGAAGTTCACTAATAACACTTTAGCAAGGGTGGGATATTTGACAAACTGTGTGGTTTTTTTTCCAGGTTTGGCGTTTGGTTGTAAATATGCTCCATTTTCCTGCCTGCAGAATTACTTCCCCATGGTCCGAACGGCCTACATCCAGGACGACATCAGCCGTCTGGTGCTCCTCAGCGACAGAGCTCACGGCGTCTCCAGTCCAGCCGACGGACAGCTAGAGGTAAAAACGAAACACTAACGACCACTTGCTTTGTGATCTTTAGTCACAGATGTATTTTAGAAAGTGTTTATTTTCTCTCAGGTGATGCTCCATCGCCGACTTTGGAACAACTTGCAGTGGAACCTCGGCTACAACCTCACGCTGAACGACAGCTCGGTTGTGAGGCCCACCCTTTGGATGATCCTTGGCTCTGTGGGTGCAACATCCAAACTGTACCAGAGGGGGGCGGTAGAGCTGCAGCACAGACCCGTCGTCATGCCAATAGACCGGCCTGGTAAGTATCTTCATATGAAGGAGACACCGATGATCTGCACATGTTGATTTGAGTTGAATTTGTCTTTAAGACGTTTTTGTTTTAAAGGTCAAAATTAATTTTATGTACAACATAACGGGTTTTAATATTGCTGAATAATTACAAAGTATTTTATTTTCTTAAAATTGCTGTTTTTGTCTACCTTTTTTTTGATAGTTTGGGGTTTTAAGTTACTGACAGAACTTGAAGGGATAATGTAAAATATTATTTTTTCAAATTAAAAGTCAATTGAAAGCCAACTTCGGCATTGTGGGGTTTCATGAACTAAAGATTTGACTACATAAGAAAGTCTATGACTGTTGAAAAGTATGAAAATTACAAATGTAAGAGGATCTAAGAACAACAGTGAGAACATTTTCTCTAGACTTATTGCTTTTAGAAGGCATTATTTTTCATACCAGAAGCAAATCAGGATTTTTTTACTCATTTAAAAAATGGAGCACTGGCGTTAGCATCTTATATTAGCACAGTTAGCATAGCATAGTTAGAATAGCAGTCTCCGTGTGCGTTTTCTAGATAATGTAAATTCTATTACAATATCAAAAAAGCTGCCAACATTTGCAAACCATTCTTTTTTCATAAAACAAACAGATAAGGATAAAACAGAGCGATGTTTGTTTTACTCCTTTTAGCCTTCCTGTTGTCTGCTGGAAGCCTGGATCGCTCTTACCTTGAATGAACCTCAGATAAGCTTAGACTTGCTGTAGAAAACGGTTTTATTTTTTAATAGCCTCTTACACATTTGGTGCTTTCTTCCGTTTTAAACACCTGATATGAAAATAAAGTGATCTTGCATTCACTGATCGAGAAAAGGGTAAAATTCTTAAATTTCTGACTGAGCAAGTTACTGATCTGGGCAAATCAAGCTACAAAATTTATCAGATTGCAGTGACCTGATAATTCCTTTGTGCATTTTTTACTCAAAAAAAAAAAAACAACACGCTCTCGTTAGTTTGAGTTTAAAAAGCTGTCTTGTCTTTTTTAATAGGTAAGGCCCGGAAGGACAGAGAGCCCAGATTTAACTCCCCAGTGCCTCCAGTTGTTCTGCCTCCCAACCTCCACCTGCTCAGCCTCAGCATCCCAGGGTGGAACTACACCTCCGACCACGACCTTCACCTCAGCCGCCTGCATTCAGGTTCTGTGTGACTGAATCTGCAGATTTTCTTAATGCTCAGATGTGTTTTTCTCACGCGTTTTTATCGCTGCTGTTTGAAACGTAAACAGGAAAGGAGGTGCGCTCTGAGCCGGACTACGATCGGGTTCTGCTGAGACTCATGCATCTGTTTGAGGAGGGAGAGGACCCCGAGCTTTCCAAACCAGTCACAGTAAACCTAAAGGTACAGCTGCAAAAAAAAAAAAAAGACAAAACGTAGATGTATCGATGGAAAACATTTCACACTTTGTCACGTTGCAACCTCAAACTTCTTTGCATTTTTGACTGACTCTTTTCTTGCGATCAGGACGTTTTAAAGGGTTTGGGGGAAGTGCGGGAGCTGGAGGAGCGTTCGCTTACAGGAACCTGGAATATCACAACCCTGCAAAGGTGGAGGTGGAAAACTGCAGACACCTCTGGGAAAAGTGAGGAATGCTCCAAATGAGAAAGGAAAGAAATGCGACTTTTTTTTTTCTTTTTCAACTAAAACTATTTCTCGCCTTTCGTTTTAGAAAATGACCAACATAAGAGGAATCAGGATTTCACCGTCACCATCTCACCCAAAGAGATCAGGACCTTCTTCATTCACTTCAGCTCCAGGAACGGTTAAACTGACCCTCCTTCTATCTTCTGTGAAGATCACGGCTCTTTTGACCAATTATGTTACTTTGGAAGATTTAATACTTTTGCTGCTCAATGATTCAATGCAGTTTTTGCACAATGTGTTGATTGTTGTTTTCTAAATAGATAATGATGTGCAGGAGGATGAAATTGTGTCTCGGACGGATTAAAGTGATTATTTCTTTTCCGCTCGTTTTAATGTTTCCTTCATTTTTTTTTCCACAACAAACATAAATTTTGTCAGATTTATGTGGATCACAGGGGAGGAAGTCAAAAATGGTGGTATGTTCATTCAACCAGTGAAGCAAACTAAATCCAAATGGGTTGTAAAAAAAAATAATCTTTGAATAAAAACAAAACAATTTGAATGTCAAACGTCTAGAATCAAGAAATTACCTACATGGAACCTGAAGTAGGCCAAAAGATTTCCCCAAAACCAACACCTTCATACTCTGATGTAAAGAAATTAAAGAGCAGATGAGAAACAAAGTCACTGACATTGATCAGTCTGGAAAGAGTTATTTCTGAAGGTTTAGGACTCCAGTGAAGTGCAGTTGGAGCCATTTTTTATTGTTGTGGTTAAATTTGAACAATTCTGCAAGAACATTTGTCCCAAATTCATTTACAGCCATATGAAACACTCGTTGCTAATTGGTGCAAATACCTGATAGAAGTTGTTGTTCCCCAAGCTGGCACATCCAGTTATTGGGTTTAAGGGGCAACTGCTTTTTAGATCCAGCCAGGTCGGGTTGAATAATTTTTTCCACTTAATCAATGAAACTGTCATTGGAAAACTGTTTTGCATTCACTCAAGTTATCTATGATATTTCGTTTAGTTTGATAGTTGTTTTCACACTGATTATAACCTCTTTACCCCCCCTCCCCCACTCCCAGCTCACTCCTACTAACATTGCGATTAATGTCCCCATTTGCCACTTGGCAAATCTCTAGCTGGATATTTGACAGCACTTCTTGGCAAAATGGGTCAAGTTCCATTTAAGTGGTTTGTTTCCTGGCATTGTATTCAGCTTTTAAACACAGTCCACAAATTTTTTATGTTGCTGAGGTTGGGGCAATTCCAGAAGCTTAATGACTTTGATGTGTGTTTGGGATCATTGTCCTATTGGACAAGGACAATAAACAGCATTTGGAGTTAGTCCCTTTCCATAACCCCATCCGCCTTTGTGCAACGCATTAGTAGTGGTTGCAGCAAACTGAGCCCTCAACATATTCCTATTAGGCTTTAAGGCCTTGCTTGCATGGACTCCTTCAAACATATTTCTTACCAGTGTTGCCAAATGGAGTGCTTTTTTTTTTTTTTTTAAATTCCTCCAACAATAGAACCTATTTCCAGAGAGTATTTGGTTGGTCCGTGTGGGCAGCTACAATTTTTCTGTTAAAACGTCCTGTTAGTATATGAGGGAACAGTTGAGGTTTCACATTAGAAGGGTAGATATTATCCCCTTATCAGGAAGATAATATTACATTTCCGGTAAGCAGAGCGAACTTTTTACTGTCGGCAGAGGAACCAGGTTGGTAACTCCGGTTCACTTTGAGCCGGAGTTGCAGTTTACGCTGGTGGCCACTAGGAGGCAGCATACCCCCATCATTACACTGCTGCCAACAGCCAATACAGACAGACAACACCCAGGGAGAGCTCCGTTTAGGCTTTTATAGCAGGGTTAGCTATAAAACACACAGGCTACAGCAAAATGGTAGAGAATATGTTTTTAAAAATGACACGAGGTGATTCATAAGTTGAGCGCCTGCTAGAAGAGAGGTGAATCCTGTGATTTATTAGAAGATGAGCAGTGCCAGTGTAAGTAGTGTGTTTTTACGCAGCCGGTGGCTGCATTTAGCGTAATGTTTTCTGTTTCTTCACAGCCTCATTTGTCGTATTTTTAAATAAGATGTCTTGTAAATGTAAAAGGAGACGTCTTTTAAATGTAAAAAGGAGATCCTAGGAAGATGTGAGGAGGCGTTGCTAAGATACAAGACCGGGAGGGTTCTTATTGGTTCCATCACTCGGAAGTGCTATGGGTCGTATTGTTGTTTTCTTTGTGCCTCATGTTAATTTGTGTCCCAACAGAAGAAAGAAAGGGAGCAGAAAAGGAAGCTGCAGCACTTTTTGAATGACTTGGCTTTACTCGGATCGTTACAGGTTGGGTCATCATCACACGGTTTATTCAGAGGAGATATGAAACAGCTCATGTGCCCCAAACACACACGTCATGCTGTTTATTCCGCAGGGATTTAAATACTTCCAGCCCTGGCTAAGAGGAAAAGAAGAGCTGCTGCTGACTGTAGTCAATGAGGATCTGGTTAGTTTCATTTGATCTGGGAGTGCAGACTCACACATTCAAGGATAAACTGTTTTTTTTAATAGCAGAGCACAGTCCTGATATTTGATTTGATCAGCTATTTGGACACAATGCAGTTTATTTGGTCCCAATAAGATATTGTAGTATCCTACTTTTTTTTTTTTTTTTTTTTTTAACCCATTTATAATTTACACATTACAATCACAAACTTCAATCTAGTTTATTGGGATAAATTCAACATAACAACTGACTTTCTTTTTAAAAGATCAATTTGTAATCAGCCCCTTTACTTGGGTGCCCTAAATAAATGAATAAATTACTCTTTGCTTTCCAATTTTCCAAAAAAGTTCTCAACTGATAAGAAAATTGTGGACATATTTTCTACCTTAACCTTAGGTGACTTATGAGGGCAATACTAAAATACTACATATGCAATTTTTATAAGTCAAAAAAAAAAAAATTCATGTATCATTTTACTTCACACTTATGTATTACGTTATGGCGGTTTACAATATGTTGAGATTTGTGTTTCTAACGTAGCACAATATGAAAAATATCTATTCTTTTCCAATTTAGTGTAGTTTTGTCTCTCTCCGGTCCAACTTTGCCCAGGGTTGGCGCTCCCCAGGTTTTTTGGTTTCCAGGGCGTCGTCGTACTCCTCCTCCAGCAGCAGCTGCTTGTCACCCAGCAGCAGCTCTCCTAGCCTGGGCAGCAGGAGCAGCTCCCCCCTGCCCGGGGAGCCTCGGGGCCCGCCAGACGTCCAGGCGACTTACTCTCACTCCAGGACGCCGACGCAAACCGACAGGTGACTGATGTGGCTTTGTGTGTGTCTGCTTACATTGACGTGTAGGTGTTTAGTTTTAGAAGAGGGTGTCTTTATTTATTTATTTTTTCTGTTTGATTTTACAAATGTCAGGCGTGATGCTGAATGTTGTTCCTCCACTAACTCGCTGATCTGTTTTTCTTGCTTACAGGGAACCGAACGGTGAGGAGCATCTTCTCCCAGCCTCTCCCAGTGAGGGAGAGATTGCCGTACCAGTAAGCGCATGCAGACAGTACACACCCACACGTTTCGCTCTGTTTCTCCCGTGAGATTAACTCTTGAACTCCTCCTTCGACAGGAGGTGAACTGCACTCTGTTTCTCCTGGCCGGCTACGTCAAGTACGGACGCCCGTACGCGTGGATACGCTCCAATCACGAGCGGCTGGTCAGCATCGGTGGCATGGATTCAATGGTCAAGGACACGCCCATGAAGCTGAAGTCCATCACAGACTGGCAGACGAGAGGTATGGAAACAATGTGAGGAATCCAACCTGCAGGAGGGATACTGTTTGAGTGAACGGCTTCAGGAATAATTACCAGAGTTTCCATGAGCTGGGCCAGAAGAGGTTGGCTTCTGGATCTCTTCTGAGATTGTTTTGTTCAGTTTAAGTATGTGTTCTCGTTGCTTTGTTTGTTTAATTAAAAGTATTTTCTTTAAAATACAAAAACAAAAAAGCAATGATTTTGATGAAGTTCAGGAGTTTAAAGCTTTTATCTCTGCAGGTATTCGTGTCTGGGACATTGTGAGTGAGCTGGTGTGCCTGTGCACCGTTCCCTCTCCCACCAACCCCTTAACCCTCGACATGCGTTACATCAAAACCCTTCCCCTGCACGACCGCTTCCTAGTCACAGGAGCCCTCCTCAGCTTCCTGGAGACCTATCTGATTTACGGGAATCGGGACGAGCTGCACTATGACAAAGGTGTCTTTTCATAATAAAATATTACGGTTACTATTGAAGTCTGCAGGTGGTGCTGTTTAGCTACCTTACCATGATAATCAGTATTTGTCTCAGAGCACTTAAGGACATTAATCATCATTTCCTTTTTGTTTGTGTTTAGGCTTGCAATTGTTTGTTTTTTATTATTTATATATCCAAAATAAGGAGCAAAGTCTCCAAAATGTGAATATTTACAGGAATATTTATTTAGTAAGGAGGAGGAACTCAGCAAAATGTCTGAGAGTATAAGACTGGAGACCGAACAACTTACGATCTTTCTATGGATCTAAATCTTTCTCTTTTAGTCCATCATACCTGTAATTTACCGTGGATGGAGAAAAAGAGATTGTGATAAAAACAAAAGTTATGGCAGTGGAAAAAGTTAAGCATAGTTCCTGCTGCTGTTCTGACCAGCAGTGTTACTGCGACCTAATGCTCCATGTAGGGCTACACACCAGGATGAAATGGTTACACCAATTATCATTGAAACACTGCATTTCTGGTCAAATGTGCTTTCCTTCATTTGGCTCAGACACAGAGAAAAAAAACTATGCTGCCACAGTTAATTAATGGCAAATGACAGCATTTTTTGGCCTCATCAACTTTATGCTAACAAACAACTACAGCTTAGTCGCTGGTTTAGTTGTCGAGTACCTGCTTGAGCTATCTGGTGTAGCTTTATTATTACCTGGGCTGTGTCCTCTTTCCTCAGGTTTAGCTTGTTCCTTCCCTTTAATCCAAGTTAACATAACCTAGGTACAGAAGTTTGTTCCAGCAGAGAGACTATTTGATGGGGAGAAATCCATCCTCCCTATACATGTTTAATCCCTTTGAGCTCACCTGCACGTTCTGCACACATTATATTTGTAACTAAACAGATTGGTTTCTATCAAGAAAACAATCTGTTCTGTGATTATATGAGAGATTTCCAAACGGTGCAGCCGTTATATTCATATATGGTAAGGCCTCTCTGTTAGATGATGTGGCTTATAGGGATGTTTTTGTGTCACAAAAGTTCTAATTTATTTTAAAATTATGTATCAACTTCAAAAACATTAGAAAGGTCGAATCTGTGTTTCTTTGTTGTTTTTCTGGCTTCTGAATATGACATATTAAAACTACTGGAAAAGGTTTAATTTTGTCTTTGTATGAATTTCTCTTTTCAGTGGTAGAGGAAGTGAAACCCCTAAGGCGCCTGCATTTCCAGGCCCTGCTGGAGCTACAGCGACTCAGAGAGAGCCCGGAAAAGCCCACTGGCTCCACAAGGCTGGACTCTTCAAGATGAAATCTTGAAGAGTGGCTTTTATTGAGTGATATTTAGGTATTGCACCGACGGCAGTTTACCGGTCGATCGCCGGTTACCGATCTTTAAAAAGCCTGACTTGCTGATTCCGATTTTGTCCGATACCAGGTTTGTTTGTTTTTTTTGTCTGAAATTTGACTATTGCTAACTGCAAACATGCAGACAGGACCTGGTGGGTTGGTTTATCAGTCAAACCTCTCTAACAGCAGAGCAGAAGTGGACAGCGGTTTGTTTTTAGACCTTTGTTGAGGTAGATAAGATCAGTTTCACATTTAAGTATCGGCTGATCACCAATCTCCCAAACTGCAAGGAAATCAGTACCAATAAATCAGTGCACTCATAGTAATATTCAATTTTTTTGGATTCGATGTTCTCAATTCCTTAATAGCTTAAACTAGAATTTGCCAGGTTACTCATATCAAGCTATACCAGATTTTAAACGTTATGGTTCCAAAACTGCAAGCATTTTCTATCTTCTCCGGCTGTATAATAGCCATGGTGTATCATGATTTTTAAGATAACATTTTTGAACTGCAGTTGGCTAGTTACCTGAGCAGATAGCCTGACTAACCAGTTTGTCATATTATGTCACCATGAACAATTAGTGTACGCTTATTCTGTCTTATCACTCAGATTTGTTGTAATAAATGTTGAAAATGATGGCTTCCTTATCAAGTCTTCAGTGTTATTTTTCTGGTTAAAAAGCGATTATGCCCCTCTGGTTTTAGATTTTTGTCTAAATATCCGATTTAAAACTTCTAAAATCAAGGTTAAACAGTGAGGATCTTTTTACAGCTCCTTCATGGTTTGATCCAAGTCTTAGTTTGGGTTTTTGCTACATATGCTGACATTTCATCCATATCTTTTGGTGGGGGTATTCCCAGTCAGTCTGCATCTGCAGTGGGAAGGAGCTCACGTGAACAGAGGCAAGTTGAAACAACATGAAGAAACGACCCGCATGACGGATTACGGATCCCAGGACCCTTTTAATTGACCTGCCCTAACATCTCCAAAACTCTTTAATCCCCTGCCCTCCTTCATAAACACAGAGGACAAGGTTTTGTTTGCGTTAAGCTAAATATAGCTCTCAAAACTTAAGTTTGGAAGCAAACATAACCAGGGTGCAGTCTGGTTTTTTTATGCGTTACCGAAACTTAAAAGGAATATGCACATACAAAGTCAGTATAAAAACTTTTAATATTCCATAAAATACATATTTATATAAATATGTACAGTAACAGTACAATGATAAAATACAGCACAGATATCTTCTTTCAGATAGAACTGTGCCTTTTGAAAGAATCATTGAACATAAAATCCTAAAATTCACTTTTAAAAAGTGAATTTAAAACCTTAAAAAGTCAAAGTTTTGAGCTTAGCTTAGGAATAATAAAAATGAGAACATGATGGTAGGCTAAAGGCACACCATTTATCCTCAAGTCTCAATTGTAAACCTAACACATAAATCATCACCAGGAGTAGGTTATACACTGCAGCACAAAAAAAAAAAAAAAGATTAAATAAAAGTATGCAGCTGCTGTAGAGGCACAGTCATGGCCGGACATGAAGAATTTGAGGCTTTTTGAGACGATTCCCGATCTCGGATTTCTCCTGGCGTGGAATGCAGGTGCATGACTGTGCATTCCTCACCGAGGCTCCGCGTGGGAACACAATGTCCTCCGGTGTTTGGATGCCGAGCTAGTGCCCCGGGAATTTGCAGGTCCGTGCAAATTCATGGACGTTTCTTTTTATGTGCAGTTTGTCGCCAATGAAGATGATTTGCAGTGACTTGGTGACGGCGCAGTTATCAGATCTGTCATGCAGTTCATAGAAACTGAAGTCCTTGTAACGAGCCGAAAACACTTGGGGGTTTCTTTATCGGAATCATTGACAGGAGAGCATAGAAAGGGCTCTGAAAGTAACAAGATCAACCTTTATAAACAGTAGAGACAGTTTTACTTCGCTTGATGTGCCAGCATTTTCCCTTCTGAATCCTAAATATCTGTTTAATAGAGCAGCAAACGTGTAAATGCCACCATGAATATAAAACATGACCTGGTACAAGTTGCCTGTTAAGCATCAAATCATCCCACCTCTGTCTTTTTACCCCCAGCTTTGCTGGTGGATCATTCAGCCAGCAGCTATCTCGCGTTCAACATCACACACTCTGGCTGCTCAGGACCCAGACTAGTCCTAAAACAGCCTGTTGCAAGCCCATCCTCGTTCTGTCTCGCGTCATTAACATTTAACTCCAAACACTCGTCAGTTATGATAACGCCCTTACAAGCAGTCATTATGTCACCAAATATGGATCAGGTTGGCAGCTTGAGCCCCTTCGCCTTGTAAGTCAGTCCCTCCCAAATTTCCTTCCTTCCTTCCTTCCCTCTTGCAGTGCTTCCACCCATAAAGTTGTCAGCAGGTCAGCGCAGAACCTTCGTCCAATCAGAGGTTCAGCTCCAACTGTCGGTGGCCGACCCTCTCCTGGTGATGCCTTTGAGGGGGCCTCGGGACGCAGAGCCCGTTCTCTTCCAGCGAACTGAGGAGGAGATAAATAGCATTGATGGTTTGAATTTGAGGTATAAATTCGCTTTTTTTTTTTTTTTTTAACACCAACTAGGTTAGGGCAACAAATTCTTGACGTAGCGACGCTGCTGGTTGCTACGGTTTTCCCGCCTCCTCACCTTTTCCCAGCCCAGCCGGCAGCGTTGAGCTCTTGGCGTTGGACGCAGATTTACAAGACTCCTCCAGACATTTGACCTTCGCGTCTCCCGGCGGCAGAGAGGCCGAGCCGTCCTGCCAGTCGTTCAGCGCCCGCTGGAAGGAGCGCGCCAGGCAGGCCGTCATGTCGCGCGCGCGCTCTGCCCGGCTGCACCAGAACACCCGGCACTGCAGCTGCTGGCCCTGGTGCTTGCAGATGTACAGGAAGACGTTGGGTCGGCCAGCGTCAGCGGCGCAGTACGCAATGTCCTGCAGGTACGTCTTGGTCAGCTGGCGCCCCGTGCTCAGCTCCTTGACCTCTACGTATCTCGGCCGGACGACCAGAGCATGATCTTTGCCCAGCTTCTTCCCACTTGCGACACCTTCCATCAGGTGCGAGATGGCCTCCTGGGCTTGCTCTCGGTCAAGAGAGAAGATCTTCACCGTGCCCAGGTAGTGGACTTTGAACAGAGGGTCGCCGTGGGAGAGCAGCTCCGTCCGGTCCCGGCGGAAGCGGCGTCGGAAGGCAGCCGGGGAGTTTTTGAGGGTCTGCATGAGGTTCAAACTACCGAGGGCCATGGCACCCTTCGGGTTGGGTTTGGAGGAAGCTTTGGGTAAGGTGTAACTGCTCAACTTGAGCTTGTCCTCTTCAGACTTTTTTCCAATCATCCAACTTTCTTTGATAGACGTACCGTAGTCAGATCCAGTGTTTATAATCTGGAAAAAAGCAAATGAAAAGATTTTAACAATAGACAAGACGACAAAACGGTTACATAAAATTAAACGGAAGCTAGGGAACGAAAGGTACAGGACACAGTTTCTGCACAGTCACACTTGTTTCTTGAAGGAAGAAAAAAACAAACAAACCTGCAAGTCAGTACAGCTTGCAGTTAAAGGCCACGGAACAGGATTGGTCACAAATTTGATGCGCTCAGAGTCAAATATTCATCTCTGTAAACACTGATTAAATATTTACTGACTGGTTAGTTTGGGTTCCAGACCAGCAAACTCATTGATTGGGTTGGATACGGGCCAAAAACAAATGGAAGGCTACTTTAGAAGAATCAAAACAAGTTCAGACTTCTGTTTAATTGGAACTTGAAAACTTCTGAGACATTTCAAACTCTAGCGTTATGCAACCATAACTAACCTTCCTTTGTTTTCCACACTTTAGGCCCACTGGACCTCCATGGTCTCCCATTGTTTTCCTTACTTGTTCCCTCTCTGTCTGTTTTTTTTTTTTTTTTGGGCCATTCTTTTAACATCCGAGCTTCGTCCTCAGGAGAGAACCTCAGAGAGAACCACCAACGGATTATGCGGAGGTGACCATTGTTAGTGAAACCCCCCGTGCAGGAAACAGCCTTGCATTCCCTGTCCACCTCCCCCCAAAAATATTTCTCCTGCAGACAATAGAAATGTTTCTGAAACTGCGTCAAGTCACAAAAGGAGACGCAAGCTGACCCAGAGCCCTGTACACCGACCCAAAACATACATGTATAGTGTTGCAGATGACTCACAAACATGGAAAAGTACTCGGACTGCTAGCTTTGCATCAAAACAAAGCCTACATGAGACTCCCTTATCGCTGTGCAGAAGCGTGAAAGTCAACAAGGTAGCAAATTTAATTCAAATGTCAGAACAGTTAAGACAAAGCCTTTATGATCTGAATTAAGTTTAAAATGGACCAAAAAATTAAAACAAAAACATCTTGAATTCCTTGAGTGGCCTTGGCAGATCAAGTCAGATGTACTGATAAATAAATGAGGATAATCTTGTAATTCAGTAAATTCCTGATCAATGCATTCTTAAATATAAGCCACTCTACAAAGCTTTTTCACAGCTTTATAGGGTCAGACTGCACAGTTGATGCACTTAGGGAAGGTCTCTGCGTTTGTAAATACTTGCAATATTAAAAGAACATGTGTGATAAATGTAAACAAGCTCGACATTTTCTAAACTGCACGGCTTTTTCAACTTTCTGAAACAAAAGTGGATATAACTTGAAAGATGGTTTACCCACCCTTCGTTCTCAAAGGGGTCACAGACATTTATCAGCATCCTAAATTGAAAAACAGAAGATAATCTCTACTTGACACACCTTTCTTACTTTTATTGGGGGCTAAAAAATAGCATTCACAACATGATCAGAGCCGTCTGTTAAGTGGGTGGATCTAGGCAGGCTGTGCAGAAAGATAGTCTGTACTCTGTCCCACATGGTCTGTACAGAAGTACAAAAAAAAGTCTGTAATTCATTATATTGAGCTATGGTAAAATGAATTTAAAATGAATCATTTAAATTCAATATAATAAATTCTCAAAGCCGAATAAACCGCTATAGTCTAAGGATGTATCAATAAACTTAAAAACACTCAGAATACCAAGTAATTTGAAGAAATTTCAAACTTGGGAGGAAATTGGAAGTTTTCTATCAGGCTTTTGCATTAGTCAAAGTGCTGTTACATATGGGCATTGAACGCCGGTTTATACGGTTTTCTAAAAGACCAGGCAATGAGAGTAAACAAAACTAAATGTACCTTTTAGTTTTGTTTAACTAAAAGGTACATTTATGGAGTGTCATTCTTGTTAATCTTACCGGAGCAGAGTTTCATGCAAACGGCGTCCTCCCAAGCTTCAGGTGAACCACCGCGTCCTGTGAGATTTAAGAACACCAAACGGCAGCTGGAAACCGACAGCAAACCGTCTTCTTGTTCCAAGCGAAGAAGCCAAATTAATAAAACCGCGCTGAGACTCTTCCATATATGTGCGTGGATCTCCTCGGACGCAAACACGACGACAGAGTGACGGCGATAGATAAACTACCGAATGAGCTAAGTTACGCCTCTGAGAAACCGCTCGCTGCTTCGAACCAACTAAACCACGCAGCTCGCGGGAGGACCTGTTTTAAAAGATGCAGGCGCGCGCTCGGCAGTGTCGGCACGCGTGAACGAGCATCCGAGAAGGAGCCAGCCCAGAT